GATGATGGATGATGGATGATGGATGGATGATGGATGATGGATGATGGATGATGGATGGATGATGGATGATGGATGATGGATGATGGATGGATGATGGATGGATGGATGACGGACGGACGGACGGACGGATGGACGGACGGACGGATGGATGGATGGATGCTCTGCTGGTTCCTGCCTCTCCTCTGTGACCCGCCTCTATCTAACCCCGTAGCAGACAGGCGGTGTCATCGTTCTGCCTCATATTGTCTCTTCCTGGTCGCCGGTTCTCCCTCTTTCAGTCCCTTTTCCGCTGCATGCTGCCCTCCTGTTCTCTGACATGTGCAGCATAAGAAATGTTTGAGCAACATTTTCTCTTTTCTTTGACCAATAGTGGCTGCAGAGAAGCTAGAAGTCAGCAGGTTCAGTGGCTTAGACCAGGCTTAGCCGTCAGAGCGGCTCCAGCTTTATATTCACTGAATGAACCGGAGGTTGGGTTTAAAGATAGACGGATGCTGCTGCACTGCCTGATGGAACAAGAACTACCGTAAACATGTTTGATAGTTCTACCAATAATACTCTGAGGTACAGAACCACTGCTGTGGCTGGAAGCTGCTTTTATCACCTTTCTCCTTTGGTTTATGTTAATATTTAGTTTTTCTCAGACATGATTCTGAAGCTCTGCATTAATTCTAGCTTTAATTAATAGAATCTATGAGAAGTGTCCCAAATTATTTCATTTAGCAGGTTTATAAATGATCTATACAGGAGGAGAAAGATCTGATCTTCTGTTTTCATCTTGTTTTTGTTCTCTAGATGCTGCATTTCTATGTTAAGGTCAGGAAATGAGTTGTTGCCACTATGTTTTGTTTACTGATGTGATGTCGTTGTATTTATTGATGAAGCCCTTTTCCCCGGGTGAAGGATCCACGGTCAGAGGAGCCATTTTGAACATGTTGGAAACATTTCCTGTGATCTTTACGTATTTATTGACTGTGATGAAAAAGAAACCTTCCTGTGTAAACAGATCGTTCTGTGAGAAGGAATAAAACTGTCCGTTCATCTTCGGGTCTGGATGGTTTGTTCAACCTGCTTCTCTAAATCTTCCTTAGTGTCAGAGTCTTGGTTTGTTAGTTCCTGTTTTTCTTGGTTTTCCATTTGGTGTCCTCTGCTGCCCTCTTGTGTCCTCTTCCTCTTGCTCTGTTTTCTGTTCTGTCCTCACCTGTTTTCAATTCCCTCGTTAGCCCTCTCTTTGTCTCTGTCCCCTTTAAAAGCCCTCCCTCTTCAGTTCCTGTTTGCTGGATCCTCATCTAACGTCTGTCTGCTTACCTCGTCTCTCCCTGGCTCCTAGAGTTTGGTTTACCCCTGATGTCTCCTTGGTTCTGGTGCGTTTGTTATTTTCTGTTGGATTTTGATTCCTGCCTCAGGTCTGTGAACCTTAATTAAACCCACCTAAATTCACCTCTGCCTACCCACCTCTGCATTTGGGTCCTCCAAACCAACACCGTTTCATGACACTTAGGTGTGAGTGTGAATGGTTGTGTCAGCAGTGGGCTGCCATTTTGTGGCACCTGGGGTTAAAGGTTTAGCTCATGAACCCTGACTGGAGGCTGTGGGGATCAAACCGGGTTCTCGCAACCTTATCAGAGCACAAGCATACCGATCTAATCAGAAGGTCATCACACCAATCTACCGGGTTACAGCATTAAATCCAGACAGAGGTACCCTGCATTGGGTCCCACAGCCCTAGCATGGTCAGCTCTTCAAACACGGGGGAGGCGGGGATTACTGTGGGCGAAAGATGTTTTTTATTATAAAAAATTATTAAAAATGAAAAAAACAGTAAAATGACAAAAGTATGGGTTAAAAAATCAATAGTATCGCGTTGGAGCGCATAGGACAGCTTTTCACACCATAAAAACACCGATTGGTCATTCTTGTATCCACTATATCAGCTCAGTCCTGTTCTTCCTGTAAACCAGACTCACCCAGAGGTTTAGTCTCCTGTCTAAGTATCAACCCTTAATATCTTAGTGTGTTTAATTATAATCTTTTTGACAGCTTTAGGAGAATCGTCTCTACTTGTCCTTAAAACATCCCAACATGCAGCTTAAATGGGAGACGATGACTTATATGCTTGGAGATTTCTGTTTCTTCTGTGTTTCTTTCTGCAGCAGAAGACAATTACAGTGATGAAGGTGATGAAGACTATTATTAGGATGATGGTGATGCCGACCCAAGCTCCAAGACTCAACTCTAGAGGAACAGAAAAAGCCTCAGTTAGAAAAAACACTTTATAGGAACGTTAGACTGTGAGGAGTAAATCAGAGGATCAGTAAATCCGCTGTTTTTAAAATAAATATATTAAACACACACAGAGCAGCTGATTAGATAAAGTCAATATTATAGTATGCTAGTAGAGTGCTGCAGTGTATTCCTATGGTGTAAGGCTGAGTGGGCAGGTGTGAGTACCTTGCAGGACGTGTCCTTCCCTACACTGCTGTGTGCTCCAGATTCCAAGCTGGGTGGCTTGGGGTCTGGAGGGAATGAAAGCTGCCACCATGAAGCAGTAGCTCTGTCCGGGATCCAGTCCTGACACCACTGGGTTGCTGGAGTCGGAAATCTGCTCCCTCTGAAAAGTAGAATTCATACATTAGATCGGCTCAACTATAATGGTGCTAAAACTGAAGATTTAGGGGGGTTTAAAGGCACAGCAGGCTCTGTTAAAAAGGTTCTACACCCTAAGCTCTGATATTTTCTGTTCTGGTTGATAAGAAAATCTTTGGCAGTTTTGACCAAAGGCAAACAAAGCAATTGAAGGCTGGAATCAGGAAGTGACTTTGAAGCCATTTCTAAAAAGTTTTCAGGCTCCTCTCCTGTGGAACCAACTACCAGTTTTAGTCCGTGAGGCAGACACCCTGTCTACTTTTAAGGCTA